CCTTAAGCTTGCTACATTTTCAACATTTTGCGTAGATTTTGTTAAAAGCTGCGTTTCTGAGCAAATTCAGCGCTCTTATTAAACTTCGGATATCTTTGCTGACAATAAGCATGCTCTCCAAATGTATTTTTGATATATTAAATAGAAAATACAATTTCCATACAGGATTAGCACTTATACATAAAATTCTTATATATATAAATTACATTGCATACCGCCTGATGCAAACACGACGAACGATCGCCAAAAATATGTTGCCGTTTTTGCTGCCTACATGAAAAATGTCTCCACGTGGGCGTCAGTCGCCGTCGTCGTCGTCGTCGCCGCCGCCGCTTGGGTTGCGGTGCAGTATATAGTACTTTCTGATTAGGTTGTAGCAGTAGTAGAAAAGAACGAAATCTGCGTAATAGATAACGTATTTGCCTCTAAGCATAGAAACATGCGGTGGTCCAGGTTCGAATCCGGGCGTGGGCATAGTTCGTGCTGGGAGCCAGCCGTCTGATGAGATGATGCCTGACGACGGTGCCAAAAGTCAAGTTCAAAGCATTTCGATTTTAGTGTCAATACTAGCACTTTCAGCGGTCATAGAGTGACCGAAGGGCTCACGCAGCAACACCCTCCGCAATAACAACAACGGCGTAGCAGGCCGAGCATCGCACAAATAAGAAGACGATAGAGGAAAGGAGATGGTGCTGCGACCTTCGGGTCGTGCCAGCAGCATTTGGGTGTATATAGTTAACTTTCCGCTTTTGGCTATCTCATCATCGTGTCTCTCTATGCCTTTGCTGGTACGTCGGTGGTCGGTGATCTGTCGCCGTCGTGTCGATAGCGGCTGGCCATTGCATTGTTATCTGACAACAACGAACTTCGCCAGCAGATGGCGGCCGCACCGCGACGACTATATCCGGTGTTTATTTTCACCACTGAAGCCATTTGCGGCTGCTGCGGCAGTGGAAGTGTCGGTACTTTACGTCGTTAACAATATTTTGTATCATTCAGGTGCCTGGCAGCCATTTCAGCGTAAGCACAGTGCTCCATTTACTGCTTATGCTGCCAACGCCAGCGTACAGAAGCACCAACAGGTCGTGCGAGTAACAATATCGCCATAGAGATGCACTCTTCGCCGTCGCCGCTAAACCTCGATTGACAAGAAAGTAGTTGTCAGCAGACCTTCCATGTCTTTTAATCCCCCCCCCCCCCCTCTACCCATTTCTCAAGATTTATTTTCAGAAAGACAATAATACCCACAACAGTCGTAACAATAGGCATCGCGGTGTGTTAATGAAGGCAACAAGATTAACAGCCAGCTGCAAAGCATACGAAGGTCTGATGCTTCTTTGTTTTATTAAGCCTGTTCTTTGCCTATTAAGAAATAATAAGCAAAGAACAGACTAATACTGCAAGCGATCATATATTTGGCGGAATTGTTTACTAAACGACAACTTTACGTTAATTCTCTAGCGCCGTTATGAATATCTTTTCAGTAGAAACAGAGGAATTAAACAACTACAGTTTGCAATGAATTTCTCCATCACTAAAAATCATGCATGACATCATTGTGTAGTATAATCATCCTTCCTTACAATGTGCTAAAAGTACAAAGTTCAACAAGGATGTTATAATGAGCAGTCATTTGGTGTAGCCATTAATAACCTATATTAGTTCCCGTAGCTTTGCCAAAGCTATTGCTAAACACATACGTAATCATTTTATCCCAGCTTTTTTCGTTTCAGCAATGACTTTTACCGCCATAACTCGTTTATAACTGATGACGCAACGAAATTGTTATCCAGTCAGGATCCAAGGCAAACAGTTCGCAGGTGGTATACAACTAACTAGCTAGCTAGCTAGCTAGCTAGCTCCTTCGCTCAACCTATTTTCACCTGCGCGATCTCTACTCGGGGCTTTTAATCTGTGAAAACGCTTACGCTTGGTTGCTGCTGTGGCTGGGATCAAATAGGCTAAGTGCCAATTTGCTACGCAGGCCACTGAAGTGGCCACTACAGAATGCACAACTGGCAAATGAATAGATAACAAAGCTGTGATAATACTCTATGCAAGAAGTAACAACACTCGACATGTTAGCATATGCAGGACGGACGGTTTATCGTAGCATGTATGCCTTCACTCGCTATTCTTCAAACTAAAAGGTCTTTTTTTTTTAAACAGATATGGGAATACATTATGACGAGAACAGAAAGTTCTAGTCAAGATCAACTATTATCCAATTAAAAACATTGATTTGCCCGAAATCGTCTTCGTTAATGATTGCATTCTGAAAAATCTAGGGAAGATTCACATTTCAGTAAGATTTTGATTTGAAAAACTCGAAAATTACGTCGGCCCGACGGTCATCATTGATGAAGTTGTTCACTGCGGAATTAATGGCTACCTTGAAAAAAAACATATCAATAGGGTCGCCCAGATAAGGTACAACGGCTAGTTCTTTTGAAACCTTTTTAATTTTTTGACGGTTTTATTGGGTCCTCTGGCCAGCCATCAAGTTTAGTAAACTTAATTTTGTTGAAACTTTTTTTTTATTGTAGCATATTTGAATGACGAGCTATACCTGCAAACATCGCTTGATTCAAAGTTCATTCGCAAATAATATTTCGAAAGTAAATAATGCTTGTACTTAACATACGAACACGAATGATTCTAGCCATTAAAATGGCTGTTTTTGTTTATACACAGCCATTAAATAACTCATAAGGAAAAACTGAATTTAGATAACCCACTCTGTGTTCATCTATATATAAATGTGTTACCATTTCAATTGTGCCGGTCAAGTTTTCTGGCAACCATAATGGCGATAGCTATTGTTATTTCATCCCAATCTTTTCCTCAAACACGACGTGTATTTGGGGATGTTCAAGTGAGCTTTTACATACATGAAAAGTGTGCATATATAATGTGGTACAATGATTGCGTCGACCAATGTATGGGTCGGTTTGTTTAAACGTAGAATTTCCAATCGGGTTCCCGACCTAACCTATGAAAGTCTTTTTTTTGGTTGTTTATCCTAACTGTTCCTGCAATTTGATCCAATGTCTTAAATGGCAAACGTCGCCAGCGGTGCAAATAATTCAGCTCTGCTGCTGCTGCTGCCGCGGCTGAAAAAAAACGTATTTTAAAACGTAGCGACAAACGACGTATACCTAACATCGGTTTTATGCTCGAACCATTTTATGTTTCCTTGAATTTACCATAGTAACTCCTTGAGGGTTGATCTGGGGGAGCGTTGCGTGCGTTACCACAGTCGCTAATAAGTACGCTAGCACGCCGGCTCGCATTTTAACATGAGCAAAACATATTAGTAAAAATTAATAATCAGGAAAAATAGAGAATTAAGGAATAGTAATATTATGAGGAAGATAAGGGAATTGTTATAATGATATTAAGGTTGCCAGAAAATGCAGATTTGCAGTGAGACCAATTCCTCGAAGTTATACCTATAAACCAAACGATTCCGAGAATTTGTTCACATGCAGAGGATAGCTAAAATTGTCAATAAAAAAAAAGATGGGTGCAGTAGATGCTACTAAGCCGCTAAACAACAAACTAATTAAACTAATCGGCTCGGTCATCATCGCCATCAATAGGAACCGATAAATTGTGGCGGACAACTACGAAAACTATGTGCAGGCAATATCAACGTCAATGGTAAGGCACAAGAAAGAACCGAATTATTCAATTCAGCTACAAAGTAATTAAGTGTAGTGCTGCCTCTAGAACCCCTCGTGCACATTCGGTTGTGGAAAGCTGCGCAAGAGGAGCAGGCGGGGAATCCCACCTACTACCCAGCTCTGACACGTGACCAAGTCGCTGCCACTGTTCCGCCCGACCCACCCAAAGACCAGCTGAATACCGTGACTGCTCGTCAGATATGCCTGAGTAGTAAGAGCAGGGAAAAGAAAGACCTAGTGCCTGTCATTAAGTTGGCTGGTAACTGCGCTGCGTGTAGTATTGCGTAACAACGTTTTCCTTAGTATAGAATCAACTACAATGGCAACAACAAAACCATTATTATCAACAATTTCGTTGGCAGCAAGGTGCAGATTTTCATATAAAAGATGTAACCATCATAGCATCGCTTTTCTCGTATGTTGCTAGCGTTCATGGCCAAAAGTTCTTTTGTCACCTTGTAGCGGCAATGTTTGATTATTGTAGGTAAATTAAGTTTTTTCATAGAGTGTCCTTTGACGGAAAACCTCTTTGGAATCATCGTCAAAAAATATTACATCGAAATGAACTGGGGTGCGTACATGCTACGTGTCTGTCGCCTACCGGTATGTTTATATATAATATAATACAATGCCATAATCCTGTATCCCATTCAGACTATTTTACACTTTGCTGGTTTGTATGCATGGTCAATGCAATTTTGTTGCTATCTGCGCGTTGAGGAAGCAATAGACCCTGTCGTTGCGACAACGCCAGCAGCAGGATGAAGGTTAGGCTTCTGACGGCAGGCCTAGTTAGTTGATTGGTAGACCAGTAGGAAGTGAGTGACACGGCGGCGATCAGCCACACTCGTAATGGCGGTTCACTTGTCGACTGTGGAGCGGATGGACGTTGTTTGACTGGTTGCCGGCCGCAATGGTTGCTATCGTCGCTGCTTTTGGTAGTAGCGATAGAATCCGTTCAAGGGCAATCACAGCTGCGAGACAATCGTCTGTCTCTTTCTATTATCATCAGAATGTGTGCGTTTTGTACATAAGTGCTCCTCGAGCCTTTAACTGACTCTAGTAAAACGGCCTAATCGATTTCCAAGCCAGCTTTATTCTATTTAGCAGGAAGAATGTGCCGATGTCAGTATAATGTTTTATCAGTCGAGTTCAATTACTATTATATCTTTCTGTTGCCATGTTTTTGTCGATAATAAAAGCCACCTTTACCTATCAGATAAGTCTAGTTCCGTCAAGCATTAGAAAAAGCAAGTACTGTTCACCTCTTATATTTACGTAATGTATTTTCAAGCATTTGAAAATAGAACTCACAATTATGAGTACTATGAGGTGGTGTCGGGATGGGACGAGGTTCATCATCTGGTGGCATGGTAACCGGCGAAGCTGGCTTTGATGTGGCTGGTGTTGTTGACGCAGCCGGAGTGGCACTCCCTGGCGTTGGGGGTGCACTCGAAGCCCCCCCAGATGAAATGGACAGCGAAGTGGAAGCAGGAATAGGTGATGGGAGGGATTGTAACGGCGGCAGTTCTGGACTGGCGCGCGTTAAGCCCAAAGCTTCGTCCTGAGCCTGAGCTCGACGAAGTGCCACCTAAGCGATATTACCAATCAAATAGTCATTAATCGAAACTACCGATTTTATAAACAAATTATTGTTATGCTAGCACACCCGAATACATATGCATTTGTGTGCCTCTACAAAAATACATTTCTAATAACTATACAAATAATAATAAATATAATACAAATAATTTCTAACTTAATAACGATTCTATAATACTGAGCTTGAAGCCTAGCTTCCGTAATTGGTAGATGACATGTTAGATCCATGCTCACTGATCGAACGTGCAATCAAGTTGACGTGATTCATTAAACAGGAACTAAATAGTAGACAAACAACAGAACTTCAGATGCAGCAGATTGAATTGAAGTGAAAAGTTGGCAATATTAGAAGGGTTAATAAGTTGGGTTATGACCAGTGCTCGGTGCACCTTACCTGCTTTGCCATTATGTCTCTTCGCTGAGTGATGAGCGTGCAGTTTACACATTTACAGTCTTTGTACGGACAAAATCGTTTGTGGCCTCGGAGAGGCACCTCCTGCCGGTGGTTTCGACACACTAAAAAGTGATCAAAGATTACACACATGCTTTAATCTATTATGTATTTAGGCTCAATTCCTAATATTTCTAATAAGAATTTAAAGCCAAACTGCTACCAAATCTTTTCAAACTGGACAAATTGATTTTTTTTTTAAGCTGAAACGAACTTCTCGCTTTGTGCGGACTCAACTGTTTATATTATTAGCGGATTTCACACGGCTCCTGAAAGATCCGAGAAACAGTTTCATGAAATTAATTAAAAGGTCCTTAATAGACCCTTGAAATATGAAAGGTTTGAAAATTAGTGAAATGACTCGAAAAGCCATTTTTGAGAAAGTAGGTTTGTAATAGAAAAATGAATAGTCGTTTCGGAAAGGAGAAAGTTCATTGGGTTGTCCAGATAGGCTCCAACGGCTAGCCTGTTTAAGACTTTTTGAACCTCTCAGCTGTTTTGAGCCTTGCATCTTAGGCCGCCGAGGTTTTTGTATGTAGCGAATTTGGCTGACGATTTAACCAATTTATGCTTACCAGTGTCACTTGACCAATGTCGTCCAGTTACTATTAAGAAATAATTTACGGATTAAGGGAAGAATATTTTCAAAAAGATTCATAAATTGTTTATATTCCAAATTGAAGATGCGTATGGTTAATGGTGGTCATTAACAATTAACACGATTGTGAATGCATGTTTGCCGCCATGTATTTGAAAAATATCTTTTTTTTTTTTGTCTAGATAGTTTTTTAGCAAAAGGGCTTAGGCTCCTCGATACTGCTTGTAGAAATCTTCGATTAGACGAAAATTAGGCGACTCTACATAGACAAGTCTTCACATACTTTATTTACTATGCATACACTCTGTTAAACAAAACAAAACAAAAAAAATTAGGTTCTTCGTATAGTCATTCTGCATATAAAGTAGTAAACTGCAATTGCTGGGCCCACGAAACAAAATTAACGATTATAATGCACGGATTTGAAAAAAAACACACTCTTTTAGCTGTTTTCACATGCGTTTTATATTATTATAGCTATAATATACAATATATATATATATATATAAATACAATAGTTTATAAATTAAGCATGCTGACTTCGTGTATTAATGAACGAAGGAAGCACACTTACCGGCACATTTGGGCTGGCGACTTTTGGCTTTGCCCGATTCCATCGCTTCGCGCTGAACCCTCTGAGCGACGAGAAGAGCTTTGCTTGCAATATCTGGATTAATGACAACTGTGGGCGCAGTTGTTCCTGGGGTGCCTAGCTGTCCATACTGAACTTCCCCTGCCACTCCACCAGTAGCGGTGCCAGCTGGCGAGGTAGTTTCTGTTGATGAATTTCTCCCGTTATTTGTTGCTTGCTGCTGTTGTTGTTGGTTGCCGCCATTGTTATTATTGCCACTATTAGTGTTGATGGCATCACATATTGCCGTAACAGCAACGTCCTGAGTGAGCTCGTGTTGTGTCCTATCCGTCAAGTTACCGCGCTCCAGCAGACGAGTTGAGGTATTCTGGCCCACGGGTATTGCGGGTGACAGCTGTGACGACGTCTCATAGCAGTTATCATTTTCAGGCTTTTTTTTCGTTTTTCCGTTGGAATCACTTTTGATCGACAACGTCCCTTTGTCCTTGTCGCAGTCCCTGTTGTTGCCGTTTACGGTCGAATCGCTGATGTTGTTGTTATTATTATGGTTGTTGTTAACCGCGTTTTTGTTGTTGTGGTATAATTGATTTTGGCCTTGCTGTTCCCTTGCCAGCTGCATACGCTTAAGGAGATAGGGCTTCATCTCGGTGTAGGCTTTCTTAAGTGGAAGTTCGCGGAGAAGCACGCCCTTCGATGACGAAATATTCTTAAACTTGTCCGCGCGGCTGTTCGGTAGTGTCGAAGAGTTGCTGATGTGCGACTGTTGCCTGTGGTCTACGCTGCCCATGCTTCTGGCCGACAGCCTCGAATCTACCTGAAAAACATGCGCACAACAGTCCCCTTAGTGATCAGCAACCATTGTCAATTCTACCCGTTTATGCAATACTAGCACAATTGAGAACGGTGTCGAGTATGTGTGTTGAATCAAACTGTAATTATATGGTTTAGTTCATTCGTTTAATAACGAAGAGTGCACTTTGTACAGATACGGGACAACCATCAAAAACATTTGAGGGCTTTCCAAACAAGGAAACACACAGAAGAAACGAATGCCTCTAACGAATACCTACCATCAGTTCCAAAAGGGGGGTGAAGTAGTGGATAGATGAGGCGATGAGTTAAAAGGATCGTGGTCGTAGTGACATAAGCATAGATCGATCGTTTGCAACAATGTTCGCTATCAACGGCGCAATCAGAGAGGCACAGAAAGAGTGGGAAAGCGGGACAAAGCCATTGACATGTGCACACACAATAACAACAACAGATCGTATAAATAGAAGAAATAATAGCAGTCAGTGCTAAAGGTAATTATATACGACATCGAAGTACCGTCCCGGCAATTCTGGTCAGAGTGGTAAATCCCACAGTTTTGAGCAAACGTTTATGTGTGAGGCCTAAAGTAAAAAATGTATTGTATAAACGTTGGGCCCTCCACAGCAGTGTCATACATAGTGTCAAAAGACTTCAATCCGCATCGACATACAAGCCAAGCGTTGATTTTGTCCACTAAAGCTATCTTTGCTACACCACAACTTGGCCTCTGTAATCGTATTCAGAAGCCCCAACATACTGAAGACAAGCTATATTTTTCTTGATATAACAGAGCCGCTGTCCACTTAATATCTAATCGGCTATCAGTTAATCCATCGATTAAGCACTTGCCTTCGAACTATTAGCAGCATTTTGTCAGTATAAAAGCAGTCGTTCTGAGTTGTTTTAAATGCTGCAACAACGTCATCAAAAGATAGATATATACTAACACGAATTGACCGAGGCGGACTATGGAACGTAAGCGCACCCACACCAGGGCTCGTCATTGCAGCGGTGGTTCAATTCAGTAGCGACAATGGCGGCGGCAACAGGAGGCGTTGTCTACTGCCTGACTATCGCTCGACCTCCACATTACTGGTGATGTTTGGGTCCTAGCCTCCTCAGCCATTGGCCTGTAGCATCGTATTGGGGTAGCAGTCGCTAGTCACCGACCTTCTAGCGGTCGTTAGCTAGGACGAACTCTTAAGAACTCTCGCTCGCGATATCACTGCTGCGACCGAAATAGCGGACACAGCAGCAGACTGCAAGTAAAATATGTACAGTGTATAACAAAGCGAAAGGAGTAAGGGAATGGTACGATAGGGAAAGAAGCGGAATGCCCCAGAGAAGTTTCGACCTCTTTAAACGGAAGAACGTAGCAACGGAGACGGCGGCGGCGGCGGCGGCGGCGGCAGCGGCGGCGGCAAAAGCTAATAGACTAGAGGATTCGAGGAGTTGCTTGAGGGGTACAAGCGCTGTTGTTATAAGCTGCGCTTCTGCAGGCTCGAGGCTTGCAGGGCAACACGGTGATATAGCTAGGCGACTGAACAGGCCTATAAATGACGCAAAATAAAACAGGATGGCCAGACGAGTCAAGGACCTGACAGCCAATCTGTAACAGACGGAAGAGGAGAATGCTAACGTCGTTGAGGTCCGCTAACGATAATCGGACAAATGCTGTACAAAGAAAAACAGGGTTCTCACAACAGAAGAAGAAGAGGGATAAAGCTTTGACAAAGTTGGAGCCAGCAACTCGTATTTTTTTTCAGCCGCAGGTTTAGAACAGCGTAAACAGTATAGAGGATGAATGGAAACAAGCAATCCTATCGGTACTCTGTTTTTCATTGTCCGAAAAAGATGGGTGACTATGGCCTTGTATAAATATACAAAGAAGACGTGTTAAACACGAGGTAATCAAGAAGAATCAGTGTAGTTCTGAGGGATAAGACAGTGGTACGGAGGATTAGAAGGTCAACAGACGGCGGATAGATACGTTGTTGTTGTTTTTATCCCGCTTGAAATTGATATTTTTTGGAGTGTCGTCCTGCTGTGAGAGTAGCAAAGTAAGCAGATTTTTCTCTAGCCTAGTCGTGGTAGCTACTGTGTCTTTCTGTTCATTTACGATTCAATAAACAAAAGAAAATGTGTCGCCGGCTACACTGTGCGTCACCGCACAGTATTCAGCACGTAATTACGGCAACTTCTAATACGTTCCCGAATGAAAAACTCTAAACAGTGAACCACACAAGACGTGTTCTAAAATGGCTGTGTCTGATTGGACAGTATGGGCTTGAGTTAAAAAAGCCCGATAGCAATAATTTGTTTAGCTAAAGTAGGACCGTTTTAATAACCACCCATTTCATTCAAAATATAATACAGCAACCATCTAGTCCTGCTTGATGTATATACGGCATATCGACATCTACAGGGTTTAAATTGAGAGTCTTTCGTGTGCTCTATTGCTAAGATGGTATCTAAACAAGAAAAACATAGTCTAATGAGACTTCCTGCATATGCTAGACGTTTCATTCCTGACGGTCATGAATATTCAATATGACCACCACTTACTGCATTTTGGATTCGGGACCTAAACCTCTAACAAGTCTATTCTAGTATATTTCTCCTTCAATCCGCAAATTCTCTTTGAATAGCTTTTAAATAGATAGTGATATTCGTAGATCTAGACTTACTAAGTGCCGCTCAACTATGCTATGCATAAGAAATTACGACAGAATTGGATATTGGCTTGATAGTAGGCCAAAAGAATAAAAGCTCAAAAGCTTCGAAGCTGGAAGAAGACGCAAAAAGTTTCGAAAAGACTAACCGGTGAAGCTGATATGGACAACCCAATGGCAGTTTATGTTCTCCTCTCTCATTTCTGTATCAAAAGCCGAAACAAATATTACATAAGCCTAACGGCCTTGACCAATTGATGCAGCCTTAACAGTAGCATATTTTTCTGTTCCGCTTGTCCTGAACGATTAACTGCGTTATTATTTACCACATCTAGGACATCAGTCATGTTATAGAACAGGTGATTCACTATTACGGCTTAGAAAGCCACCCGTGCTTCTAAGCAGTCTTCTGAATGAAATGGAAGTTCTATCGAAATTTCCCACCTCATTCCAAATGCTGTAAGCCAGCCAAAATCGAAGGCCAGCCGTACAGCCGAGAGAAGCGCTCGACTTCTAGCACTATATTTCCGCATATTGGATAAATAAGGTAGCATTCTGTGTCCGACTTTTATCTGCTTTCTTCTCTTTGTCGAGCACAAGCATCTGCTAAGTTATTGCATATGTACTTGTACCTCTATATTGGTGTCGTAATGTGTTTGAAACCTCTTTCTCAGGCCAGTGCGTCTGACTCTCTGAATCAGTCTTAATCAGACGTCTTCTTGAAGCCGTCTTCGTTCTAGATGTTTAGTTTAACTTATAGCGGCTTCTGTAATTGCTCCTTGTAAGTACATGCATACGTTCGTTTCATACTCACCACCGCTGAGCGCCTCGTGCGCGGGCTAATCGCCTTCGTTGAGCTGGCGGCGTTGGAGGTTGGTACGACGCAACTAGCAACAACAATATGGCGGGTGCTTTGGCCTGTTGCGCTCGTCGACAGAGACCTTGATGGTCGAGTTGGTACATTTATTCCTCTATTCTTTTTTCGTCGCTGCGACCATTGCTTCTGCTCCTTCTGGTTGTCACGGTTGCTGTGGACGTGATTTTGACCTTCTGTGGTCTTCAGATTAAATTAGATGTCGCACTACGTTTAGTGTAAGAGGTGGCAGGATAGGCTGCAGACAGGGACTCCTTGTACAAGTTGGTCTGAGTTCACTTGATTAGTGTTGAAAATATTTTTGTCCATTTCGTTACTACGCCGTTTGTTATAGAGTTGTCGATCACGGGTATCGTTAACAGATTACGACTTAAACGCCGGGTTATTTGAATCTGCCGCGTTCTACAGTTCGTGGTGAGAGTATGGCTCATTGCTTTTCCTGTTTATCTTACGACTATGTCGGCTAGCCAGAGTCGTGTCGTAGTTTCACAATCGAATTTATTTGAGCGCATCATCTTGTGGGTCGATATAGAGGCATATCGCATTGTCGCTTGCTGATTTTCTGTTCAGCAGTAGAACGACTGATTATTCGAGTCAGCCACGGCAACGGCAGCGGATTCACAGTTGATTTACCGTATTTTCAATGTCAATGCCGTGTACCATCTCAGCACCTGGAAAATGTTGCCAGCATGTTTTTTCTCGGCGTTTTATGGCCTGCCTGACAACGCTCGCAGAACTCACACGGTTACTCTCGCTATGACATAACCAAAGGACAGAAGTGCGGCTGCCAGCCGGAGGAGCGGGCCAAAAAATGCTCTGACGATATTCATTCGGCTGACGAGATGAACGTGGTAACGAACACCATACCGCTTTAGTATCTATAGAGATACCTTTAAACTAGGGTCTGATAAAAGCGTTAACAGTAGCAACTGCAGCAGCAGCAGTAGCAATTGGCGTGAGCGGCGGCATTCAGTAGCACTACGGGAATGGAGGAACATGATTATTCTTGGTAAGAACAAACAGAGTCGCAGCACTCCTCAGTCCTCTGCGTCTGTATGCTTTTATTGTTTTTTTGCCACAAAATAAGATGCCACACCGATTGTTAAATTGCTTAGGTTTGTTATTATTTTCCACTGTTGTTGCCGTTTCCGCTCAGCCGTTCCTGCTCTGTCGTTCTGAACGCTGAGCGTTTTTCTCTGCCACTGCCCTCAGTTTTCTTCGTTTAGCCTTGTCTTCCAATAGAAATAGCCATCTTTTATAACCTTCCATCATATATATATCTATGTATACATATATATGTATGTATATCACACACAGACACACAAGATTTGGACAATGTATGCGTGTATCGTATGTTTCGGCCCATACGTAACGGAATGCAACGGTATTGGTTAATCTGAAAATGGCGAACAGCCTACTCTAAGCGGCTATGGAGAAAGAAGCTGGTCAGGTCAGATCATTTCCCCTTTGACCAAATAATATCAGCTGAAGAGATATATTGAAGAAGGCAAAACAGGATGCGTCTTCTTACGGTCGTTCTCACGCGCGCGTTGTTCGTTCTATTCGTCGCTTTGTTCCGTTCCGTTCCGTTCCGTTCCGTTCCGCTCTCAGCTGCAGGACCACTAGGCCGCCCTTCACTAGACAGCACTGGAATCACATCGCTGAGCAGAGATGGCCAAGACGAACCCCTGCACTGAGGTCCTCTCTCCTACCGCCCGTTACAGATACACACATGTATAACGGCAAAACGCAAAACATATAATCGCCATCAACACGAAATGAACGATGAACAACAACGGGCAAGTACAAGGACAGATCGAAGAGGACTGCCGATACCATGATTATGGCGACAGCGCCACTATTAGTAACCTCTACACTGGACCATCGACCTACTTTGTCTTGGCTTCACCACGAACTTTTTCCTTTCGCTCCGTTCGTTCGGGAAGCGATACGACGATCGACTAGCCGCGATTCGTCTTCTCTTCAGCTAGCGGCAAAGAGGCGACAACGACGACAATAAGCTATTGCTATCAAGCTGTGACGCGCACCCCTTGCAGCCCAATCGTAAGATACCAACTGTAGCAATTGCAGCCAGTAGTGGTAGCAGCGCGAGTGCTCTCAGCCCTGTATACTATAGAGAGTAGTGCGCAGCGCCGACGGGCTGTGTCTGTGTCACACCGCTGTGCTCGGAGTCTGCTCCGCGCCTTAGTGGCCTTCTTGGTGAAGGAGAGAAGTGCCCACTCCGCTCTCGTCCGACGCTCTTATGGAGTGTTTCGGCTATGGCGACCCGAGGCAGGCCGATTCAAACAAAAGCCCCTTTCTCGTTTTGGGAGGGCAATAAGGCTTCAAGCCCCCACGGTTCCCCTTTCCCTCTGATAATCTGACGGCAAATCGGCCGAGGAACCGTGTTGTATCGGTTTGTACTCGTCTAGCTGGCAGAGGGCTGAGGCAATCGGTGACTGAGCGGAGAGGATGAGTCGGTTTGAGTTAGGCACCGGAAAGATGACCAAGCACCAACGACCAGATGTCACTTACCACTATACTTTTTCCGTATGTCGACAGTATCATCACAGTCCCGGCAAAAATTAAAACTACATAACGATTGATAAAGTGACAGTATAGGCGAGCGTGATTATTTGTTACTTTGTTTTATCTGTCACTGTCTTTTTTATTGGGGTAACTTGCCGCAGCTCTATTTTTCCACTAACTTGCGACTTCTGCCTCGTCTCGAAGGTCAGTTAACCAAGAAAGTTCAGCAAAACAGTGCTCAATTCGCTTCTGCTTTTCTTGCTTTTGTCTCACAGTGCGCAGCAGTCGCCTGTCCTTTCTTCACGGTATCAGTAGTTGGTATCCGTGGCAAGTTTATTCCTTCTATTACCATCAGCGTACATTGGCTACCGTATCGCTTTATTTATACTGGATATTGAATCAGTATCATTTTAACGAGTTACGTTCTGTCGCGATAAAATCCGATACGATCCATGGCTGGGCTGCTATCGTAGCAGTAGCTGCCACTTAATGGGCATACATACTGCATTTGGCTTCGCGGCATCGACGTTTCCAGACCACGTCAAGGCTTGCGCGTGGCATCGACCCTGTCTCGTGTTTCGTTTGTTTAACGCTCCACTGGTTGAGCTTCCGTCGCCGCGGCCTTCGGTAACAGATATTACTTAGCGCCTGAGTTTCAATCCTCGGCTATTATTCAGTTTATGTAATGACTTCTTGCTGTTGCAGCCGGCAGTTCGTCGGCAGTTTAGAACGTGCTCAACTAACTGACTGTCTAATGTGAACAACTATTGTACTAGTGGTCCAGGAGGGCAGGTCTCTGCTGGCCAGCATGAACTTGCTGTTTTGCTAGCTTTACAGCTCTACTCGTGACTGATTGTGAGGACGCTTCGCATGCTATTATCGTACCTCACTACTGCACCCAAGCCGAGCGGGTACTAGTTAGTGCCCAGTGACCGCCGGAGGGCGCTTTCTGCATTGATAGTTAGCAGCGCCCTCGGTGGAAACACAACTAATCACCTCTAGCGTCAACGGTGGCTGACACCTACCGATGGTGCAAGCAGGGTTTAGTGACATTGCCAATGGCGGTCGTTGTCGTCGGTATCGTGGAGTTCGTGGTGATCGCTAATCGCGGTGAGCCACCATCGCTCGGCAACTCGTGTACACCCAGAGACAGCCCGGCACGCTTAGACGCCGCAGGCGTCCTTCGAATGCACGCTACAGAAAATGAACGCGCGAGCGCACTCACACAGACACGGTCCCACAAACTAGTGGACAGTGAAGCACATACACTCCACAGGGACTGCAATGGAAGTATGTAGAACGTGGCGGGTCGCAGTAAGCACACTTTCGTTTTCTACTAGCTACACGTGTGGTAGCCATAATAGCACAATAAACATGGCATCCAGCGGATGGTAGGACAGAATAAAATCACATCGTATAACATGCACCCAAACCTCGCAAGTCGCTGTTTACCATAGACCAGCTGGTTACGCGGTTGTCTGCTAGTTGGCCGTACGGCGAGCGCGTCTCTCTTTCTCTCTCCCTCACCCTTCCCATATATGTGCTAACTAGCGGTTTACTAGACGAAAGATAACCCAAGGTCAAAAAAGAAGCGGCCTAACCAGGTAAAGTCCTACAAGCAGCTACGGTAAGCAGTAATCGATGTGCCGATGTTTGTTAACTGTGTTAATGGTATTTGCTGGTGAGATAACCGAACAGGAAAGCGGTTTATGTGAAAATATGTTGGCCCTTGTTGCCTCAGGTTCATTCGAGTAATCGCAGTTGAATGCTGCAAGGGATGCGCGGGATTATTTAGTTCGATTGGCATGGCATTGCCACTATGTAATATCATTGCTTAGTTAGTGTGTCCGTCCAAGCATGTTACTGTACTGGTATGGTAATGTCGTCTGCGCTATAGTCGCTACACCCTCTTGTACTATAAGTGTCGCTTCCTTGACGTCCAACGCTGTCGGTTTTACACACTGATGATTAAAATATAATATCGATTACATGAAAGCATATATGTGCGTGTGTACCATGGTAGAAGCCGTACCTATTGTCGTCGTATGTTGCTATACAACAGCAGAAGCTGTTATCCATACCGAATCCAATAACGACGATACTGTGCTCGTCATTATCGGATCTCGTCTTTTGCGTGCCTATGTGTTGCAGTGGGCATCGTTCCGAATACCAAAACACTAAGTGGTAAATAATTAGATGACAGCAAACATTTTTTTATAGTTACCGATTTATTAGACGGTCAAGTTAACCAGAAAGGCTCCAAGGAAACGTATAAATACCTGCGAATTTCGAAAAAATGGGGGGTGGAAACGGTTTCCTGCTTGTATAGAAAACGTGTAAAGCTACCTATCAGATACGGAACCCCAACCTACATGTTCCGTTCAGGAGACTTTGCCGATCTTCACATTAAGGAACGTCTACAGACGTTGTCTACGTTGGCCAAAGTAAACTGTCGGGCATAGGTTTTCGGGCATGCTTGGAGAAGTTCAACGAACCGCAGACTTAGTGCTGGGTAGATAGATTTTCTGCTAGTCCACTGCGGATATAGCGCCAAGTATAGGAACAATACTGACAAATGCTTTAAATTCTTGTATTTAGTTGACTAGCTAATTAAAATGGCTCTTAAATCAGGATAAGAGACACTTTTCCTGTTGCATTTGTATAATAAAAAGATATTTCGTAATCAAAATATTGTTTCACAGCGGAATTTGTGCGTTCGTAAAATGCAGAGACCGTATATATAAATGCTGTGGCATTAGCTGCATTAATAGATGCGAAGTTCCTCTTTTATTTAGTCAGATTTATTGTATTTCCGAGCATGCTTTTTAAATATGGCTCAAATATTTAATCCTTCATAAATCTTCCTATTTGAAACCTTCGTCTTTATTTGTAACGTCTAGGTCGTTCTAACTAATCGTAACTATCCCCATAAAAGCTTAGTACGTAACGTATTTACCCCCTAATCTTAGAGACGCTTTGTAGTCGAGGTTTAAAGCATAGACCGACTTCGTTTTATGTAGATAATCAGTCAGCCATCGGATAGAATATCCAACGCGATACCGTACGTAAAACTTGAAACATAGAAATAATGCTAGCCAGCTATTCGTAGCCGTTACTTTCAAAATATTGCGAAATAGAGATTGACTTAAAATCGACAAGGGTGTATTATTTGGTGATACATTATGATTCGACAGAGCCTTAAATGCAGAAAAAAAACCTAAAAGACTGAGGAGTCGATCGGAAACATCTTTTCAATGTGACGACCACGCTCGTCTTCTAGAGATCGAGTGCGGCTGTTGGAAAGTTCCCTGGTGAAGTTACTAGGAGTATTCTCTCTTTGCCTCCTTCTACAAGTGTATACATTTTAAACTGCTTCGATCGAGAAACCTATTCGAGTGGGTTTCTATTGTGCAACTGGCGAATCCGTGAACGCTACACAAAAATTAATTGATAAACAACAGAATAAGATAGTGTAGGGGTCTCAGTATCAACTTCTATTCAAGCGGGTCTCTGTTTATTTATAAAATTCTGACAATAAAACTATGAACGGATAATGTAATTTGTTACCGTGCAACGCAGCCACTTCGCACGTCCTTTTTTCTATGAGAGGGCGACCGTGTGATTATAGGCCTATGGTTACATTGACAATTTCTTGTATTTGCTAGGGTGCGCACATTTGTGGCCTTAATAATTGATCTGAAAGAGCAGATCATATAGTGCGTTATGTCCGACGGCGAAAGCTACGCTGGGCGTTCCCAGATTCAAGATTCCGTATTTAGACTGCCGTTGTGCCCACGCTTTTAGTACAGCAGTAGTAGTAGTAGAACAGTCATCATGTGGTTGATGAGTAGCGTCGTACTGTTTCTGAACCAGGCTAACTTTTATTGCTGTTGCTGTTGCAGAAGTGGGCACCTTTAATTATAGCACGGTCTAACTACTGCTCAGTGAACATAGGGCTTCCACGTGCTTGCATAAAAATACCGTTGCGGGCAAAGAGCGTCGAATAGGTTCGTTATCGTCAAAGCAGAGGGTTGCTCCTTTGGAAAAACTTCTGAGTGGTTGATTGAGCCATTCTGGGAATGTCGACCAATTAAGCTTGCGGAAATGGGCGAAACGTGTAGGAAATATTAACGAATTACACATTATTAGCACATTTCATCCTAGTACATGAAATTGATGTAATCGTTAGCTATAGCTTAAAATGGCTTTTTATGCAGTACAAACGGTATCAGCATTCATTTTTGTAGTTCCTCTTAGATAGGTAAATACTACCTATCGGCAGATTTTTCTATTCAATTATACAACGTAACAAAGAATGATCATGTAACCCATGACAGCTGGGTTAATGCTTTTTCAGGAGCTATAATCTGCGCAGTAGATGGATAAACCCCGGGGCCAATCACTATACTATAGCCACTCCTGCATTATGCCGCCACAGGTAAATATAATCGGCCTAGAAAACATCTTCCGAAATGTTTTTCTAGAACTCGCCTGCAAATGATTATTTTGGCCTTAGCAGAGTGAAGGGGGGCCTACGATATTCGTCGATAACCGCACGTGTGCACTACGTACATTACACTTGCTAAATGCACCGGACACGAATGCTAGATTGCGTCTAACAGCTCCATAGACAGGAATTCCTAGAAAGATGAACGAGCTTTAAACAAATGCTGCTATTTTCATGATATGAACTTCGTAAATAAGCAGTTAACTTATAGCTTAACAAGCTCAATGGTATTTATCAATTCAAGTTCCTTGGCGTTTCACTTATACAGCACAAATTAAGTATACATGTCTCTTTCTGAGTTACAAATCAATTACTCTAATACTTTATCAAATTTAAGATTGTTTCATTTATAATATTTTAGACCGCTTGATAGATAAAATGGTTCTCGGAACAATACCTTCCACGACAGAAAACCCGCATTACAAGTATTCGTAATAATGGTACTATTACTTTACCTTACGGGTTTATATGCGGAATCAAAGGAAGTGTAGGGTTAACTTCCGCTAGATCCTCGGATATATATATATATATATATATAGGCTGAATTAAATTAGGAATATGAATAGAACCTATCCTGCACAATAGATGATAATACATTTTTTTCAAAAACCTGCAATCAATTTTTTCTGAAAAGGTCAGACATTAAAATTAAAAGTAAAGTAATAGTCTACTCTATACTGGACCCTTTATAACTGTCCTTAGTTTGACTCATGCGTAGCCTTAAACTGATTTTAAGGTCCACTAGTTGATTCTAGGTATTTGATTGAAGAGTAACGAAACTTGCGCGAGATAAATGGGCTCCCATTAAGAAAAATCGCAAAATTGCTTACTGCATTATTTATCAACATAGGTGTTTTTTTTCCCAAAAGGAGTATACATAGGCATTCACTGCTGACGACTTAGCTGGTGTGAGTATTGTCGTCTCTAAACTCAGTATGCAGAATCACTTATAATTTTAATTGCAGACCATATTAAGCAATGAGTAAATGATAGATCCTACCTTTAGAACGTCCTACAAAAAAAAACACCATTGTCCTGCCTTTAACCTTTAAATCTGCCTCAGTTCGTATAAACTGATTTTTCTCAGATTCCTTAAAAAGTCGATGTTAATCTACCTGATAGGGTAGTCTTCACTCCGACATGCTAGAACACAGATTTCACACACATCCCCAATGAGATAATACCTGATATCGAGTTCCTTGAAACTGTTCATCAAGGAACAACTTTTCAACGTAGATGTCAAATGTTGTGGACTGCACTGCCTGAATATATACTACCTAAAGTAAACTACGGGCGAGCACTAAGTAGACTGATGCAACTCTATGCAAAAAAAAAAAACTGAAAATAAATAAATTAGCCTCTTTTCTAGATTTTTCGAGTTTTACAGTCCATCGCTTCTAGGCATTCTATTAAAGAGCTGGCTCTCAGCACGATCCGAGGCGTGTCTACGTCCTGGTTCAAGTCCCTTTCTAGGCACTTAACTAGACTATCTTTCTGAAGTTCCTTTTTCTTTTACGATGCATGGTACACTTTACGCGCTGCTTCCGATTATACAGCCACTGATATCTGAAGGTTGTACTAAAAAAGAATCAAACTGATATTAGGCCAGAACTGACAAAAAAAGACAGAATTTCTGTTACACATTTGCCGGTTGTTATGGTTTTGTCGACAAACTTATCAGGGCTTAGACAGGGTAACATAGTAAACAGTCAGGACCTATTCAACAGGTGTCCGTCAAGTCCTTACGCGGTACGCATATTGTCCTCTGAACGCATGAGTGTCTTAATTTGTGACAATAGGCCCAAACGTAGATGAACAGAAGTAACAATAAAATATTTCAC